ACAAGTTCTTCATCAACCGTTTCTGCTCCTAACATTTCAGTTATGTCCCACCATGTAATCTGGGTAATGAGAGAAGCGTGCAAAATTCAGAGACCCTTATTATACTAGGCTGATCTTAAGATTATCTGGTCACGCCCTAGTTTTAGGTTTTACAAAGAAATTCTTATATTTTGTTTATTGTATTTAATTCCCAAATCCCCAAAGTTTTTGTTTTACAAATAAATTCCCAAATTTGTGTTCATTAAATTTATCACATTTATTTATAAATTCCCAAATTTCCAGTTTTGTTTCAAAATGAAGAAAATTCCAAAGATTTTTGCTTATTAATTTATTATATTTATTAATTCCCCAATTCCCAAAGTTTTATGTTTTATAAATATATTCCCAAAGAAGGGAAGGACTTATTGAAGATCAGATGACTACCTAATGGCAGAATCAGGATCTGAACCCAAGTCTTCTGACTCTTACCCCAGTGTTCTTTCTACTATGCCACATTGAAATATGAGCACTTTAGCTAAAATGTACAGTTTTCTAGTCTCCTTGATACTGACGTGAATCTTTAGGTAAGGCACGTATAATTCATTTCTAAACTATGTAGGTTCAATACTCAACCTCCCAGGGCCTACTCTTATATCTCTTTTTTGGTGTGAAGGGAAACCTAGGTTCTCAAAAAATAGTCCAGGAGAAGCTTACCCTATAGACTCAGCAACACACTGTGTTCTCTATCTAAGGATCAGCCTAGCTAATTGGGTAGATTCCCAATAATCAGGTTTAGCCAATGAGCAATTAATTCTTTAGCCAAGGTGACCCATGAAAGAGACAAGGAGGGGAGACATTAGGAGTAGTAGGGAGCCAGGCAATGGGAAAGTGGTAGGAAAGACGGCCGGAAGGGCAAAAATTACAGTATTGAAATCGTCTATGTGCATAATTTAAATATTGGTATTCTCAAATGTGAGCTCTTTATCTAATGGCCATTGACTTGGAAAACTAATGGAGAAACTGAAATAGATCAGTGGTGATGATCTCAGTATGAATGACACCACTTCAGCCCTTTCCCCAGGCTCATCTTCAAACTGAAGCTACCTGGTCAAATTCTTCTTAAGCACATGCACAATTTCAATCTTTGCCACAAATATTGATTAATATCTTCTTGATTATTTTATTGTTTATGCTCATTATAGCTAAGCAAGGTCTCCTCTGAGAAGTGATAGTCTTATTAATATGCAATACACTGGAATCAATGAATGAGAGGAGCAAAGACTTTGAGCCAGAAAGACCTCAGAGACAATCTAATACAACCCTTTCATTTCACAGATGAGGAAACCGAGGCAAAGAGAGGTTAAGTAATTTACCCAAGGCTAGACAAGCAGTAAGTGTCAAGGGTGAGATTTGCATTATTTCATGGTCATCTTACCTGACAGTGTTTGCAATGGGCATAAACATCAAAACAATTGAGAAGTTATTAACCAATATTTGCTGTAGAAATTGAAATGGCACATGTAGCAATGAAGAAGGAAGACGAGGTGGGGCAAGATACGTCAGAAACTGTGAATCGTAATTAAGAAATGAAGGAGATCAAAGGCTGCAGACTTCTTAGAAGCTTCACCCCCATGTATCAGGAACTCAACAGGGGAATGCTGGGAATATACTCGTACAGCAAGCCACATACTACAGGTACCACCATGCACGCACGCACACACACACACACACACACACACACACACACACATATGCTAAGGGAATAAACATTTATTAAGCACCTACATGTCAGTTACTATGCTAATCATTTTACAACTATTATCTTATTGGATCTTCACATTTAAAAAAGTATATTGATGTCTTTTGTTTGTATATCACTAACATTTCTCATTGCACTGCTTCTCCCAGAAAGTCATGCCTTGGAATAAAGAAAAAGAAAAAGCCCAGCAAAACATACAACAGCAAAAGCTAGCATGTCCATAATGCTTCAGGGTTTGCCAAGCACTTTACAAATATTATTTCAATTTATCCTCACAACAACCTTGTGAGGTAGATGCTATTTTTGCCATTTTGCAGTTGAGGAAACTGAGACTGACAGAAGTTAAGTGACCTGGCCAAGGTCACACAGCTGGTAAGTTTCTGAAGCCAGATTTAAAATTAAGGTCTTCCTGACTTCAAACCTAGTGCTTTAGCCGTTAAACCAGCCACTTCCAGTGGAAAGGAAGACAAGCATTTATAAAGCACCTACTAGGTGACAGGCACTGTCCCATGTAATTTTAAAATATGATGTCATTTGAGGAGAAAACGTAATGCATGTAATTATAGGAGTACCAACCAGATCTATTTAGATAAGCTAGTCAGTTTTGGAAAAGGGAAATGACTATAAGCAATAGCATTGCTTTATATTAGTTAAATTTCTCTAAGAAACAGTGAGTATGAACCAATCACTACAAGGAGCTGAAATTACCTCAGCCAGAAAGTCTTTGATCGCTTCTCAAGAGACATAACAGGATTAATACTGGTATAGAGCATAGGCTCATTTGTAAATATAGATGAGGGAGGTGACTGAAGAGTCCATTGAGTTGTAGAACAGTGAAAGAAAATGCATGAGGGGAGCAGCTAGGTGGTGCAGTGGATAGAACATGAGCCCTGGAGTCAGGAGGAGCTGAGTTCAGATCCATCCGCAGACACATGATACTGACTAGCTGTGTGACCCTAGGGAAGTCACTTAATTCCGACTGCCTCACCAAAAAAAAAAAAAAGGTAAGAGGAAACCCAGCCTCAGAGAGTGTGGCATGAAATAAAACTCCATCCAATCATCTCAAGAACAATTGAAGATTAAGTCGGAAAGAGGGCAAAAAATCAGATCCAAATGTGGTATGCTATGGTTAATTGATTGGTTCTGAGACTAGATCACCATGGAAACAAACCAGTTCTTCTTCACTTCTGGTGGAATATATGAAAAAGCAGAAAAGACAAGACATTAGGCAGACGTTGATTTGAGAATGGATGAACCATACCAGGTCCAAGAGCTATAATGACAAAACAAAAACCATTCCTTCCTCCATAGCCCTGCCCAAATTCATCATGCTTACAGGCACATCAGTACAAGCGATAGCGATGGGGATTGGACCTGTGCTGTCACTGTTGCTGAGGAAACTCCCTCTGCCAATGCAGGTCAGTTCTTTCTCTGTGACCCACATTCTCAGAGTTGCCTTGAGCACTTGGGAGGTGAAATGATGTGCCGTAGGTCACAAAGCCAGCACATGTCAGAGAAGAAGCTTGAAACTGGATCTAGAGGGCTTTCTCTCTCCTCATTGCACCACACAGCCCCTTGTGTGCACTAGATACCTCCATATAAATCAAGCTAAACTAGGGGAAGGAGTGGCACACAGAGTGAAGGAATCAGGAAAGGCATCTTGAACTTTGAGATTCTGTATTTCTACAGCTAAAATTTGAAGCCAATGATTCATCGTGGCCTAGACACGACCATAGGGTTACCATTGCTCAGCCCACAGAGCACTAGCTATGGCAAGGAGCATCTACCAGAGGGTAAAGACTTTGAGTACAAGCATGATATGAATATGTGTAGTGGAAATACTGGATTATATTCAAGCTCAAACCAGCAAGATTAGGGCTTCCACCTTCTACTTGCCTCTTCAGTCTTTGTGACTCATTACTCAAGGCTTGATAGACACCACCTAGCTCAGCCTCCTCTGCCCACTGGTTGGAGAGCTGGAGCTCCTCCCAATGCCTTCCCTTACAGGGGACAGAAATTGGGCTTTCTGCTCCCTCTGCTTTGACTCTGCTGCCCTGCCTGGCTCCGTCTCCACAGAAGAAGATCCTCCCGCACTCAGTACTTGTGATGGAGCTTTCCTGACTCTTTTCATGCATAATCTCATTTCCATAGATTGTAAGCTCCTTGAGAGCAGGGACTCATATGTTTACTATTTTATCCCCAGCCCTTAGCTCAGTGCCTGGCATATAATAGGTGCTGAATAAATGTTTGTTGTATTGGATTGGCTTCCAGTTGTTTTATTTGTAAAGTGACAGAGTTGAACCGGATGACCTTTAATGTCATTAACAACTCTCCCATAATTCTCTACATGCTTATCATTCAAGGTCACTCTGTGCAACCTTCACTGAATTCCCTGTTGGAGGACCACTCCCTCCAGGCATGCACTTGGCACTGGCTGTTCCAGTCTTGTGCTCCTCTTATCAAAGCTCACAGATCCTCCCAAACTAGAAAGCCAGCTCAGCTTGGGGAGCCTCCATTACAAGGATGACAGCACAGCATTGCGTTCTTTGGCTATCCCAAGTCACAAAGACTGCAGAGGCAGATAGAAGGTAGAAGAGGTAGAAGAAAAATTGGGATCTGTGTAGGTGGAGAGAAGAGCCCACCATCAGAATCAGTGAATCACAGAATCTCAGAGCTGGTACCACAGGAGCCATCTAGCCCAATCCATATTTGAGCAATAATTCCCTCCACAACATTGTCAGGAAGTGGTCATCTAGCCTTCACTTTCACCACTGAAGGGAAACCCATTACTTCCCGATGATTAGGAAGGCTTTGTTTGTTTTCCTGATGTAACACTAAGATTGTTGTCTGTCTCACAGGTTTGGAGTGCTCAGTCTCTCCCTACTAAGGCACCCCTCTCAGTTCTAGCTAGCCCTAAGCAAAGGGAAAAGATTCAGTTCTGAGAGAGCCTGGTCTCTAGAGAGGAGTCAGGTTATATTTTTCCTCACATTCTTGACCCATCCTGGGGAAACTGTCTAGGTTTGGCTCATGCTGAGGATCTCCCCAAAATGGATAGTAGAAAGGTACTCCATGTACAATGTAAATCAGGTATAGGACAGATATTTCTTTCTTCCATACACGTAAAAAAATATACTCAACACAAATAAAAACTTTGCACGAGGACACATTGGCAGAGGTACGTATACAGCAACAATCACTATTGGTCCATTCTCATGGAAGGTTGATATTTATTACCTCAAATATGAGACATTTTGGGGGACCACTGAATCAGCATTTCACCTTCACCTCCATTCTGCACTGCTCAACTAAATCCTTCCAGTCTGTGTCTTCTGGAAAACCTGACCAGGAGCTGGGCTGATTCTCCATCTTCTCCAGGGAGCATTAGATTAGCTCTTGGGAGATCTTCCAGGAGTGACTGAGGACCCGAGGGGCTCTCAACCTCTCAAACCTATAAGGGGGGCTTCAAGCCTGGGAAGGGAAGCAAAGGAGACTAATCATATATTAAACACCTACTGTGTGCTAGGTACTGTGCTAAGTGCTTTACAAATAGTATCTCATTCGTCTTCACAACAACCCTGCGAAGTAATTGCTGTTGTGACCCCCATTTTGCAGCTGGAAGCCTCCATCCCTGTATTGCTACTTGGTCACCTGTACTTAGGAAAGAAATACAAAGCTGAAGAGGCCCGTAGGACTTGGATATCCAGACTTAAGGTGACTGAGCCTAACCACGTATTTGATGTGTATGGATGGGTGCTACTAGAGCTGGCTTTTACTAGCCAGAGAGCTGATTGTTAGATTTTAAGTGTGAGTATTTTACAGATCAGGCTTGATTTTTTTGAGTGTCTAGAGTTAAGAAAGCAATGGAGAAAACATCAACGATGCAGATTAAACTTAAAAGTGTGGCTTGTATACATTTTTTTTCCCCTAGGGAACCAGTTGTTAAACATTTGCCAGTCTATCCTCACAGCTTCTGTGCTGATAATGTGGAGAACCCTTCCCCCACTCCTTCAGGGAGAAATTCAGAGAGTTCTGAAAAGTTTAGCAGACAGGAAGTGAGAGAGGCCTTGCTGAGTCATTCCTGTCTAGGCTCAGTGAGTGGGCAGTTCTCCTGGTTTAGTGGTAAATCCTTTCTGATGAAATTTGGATGCAGCCTCAGCCTTGCTGGGGTGCAGAAACAAGGGACTAACCGAAGTTGGCTCTGTCTTCCCAAAATGACGACCTTGTCAGAGCTGAGCCACTCATTTGCCCAGAAATGGCCAAAGCGAGGCTGAGAATGCCAAGGTTTGTGCCAGACAGAGAACCTGCAGATCAAAAGAACCTGCTGGTCATTCCCCATTGCAATGACATCTAGCCAAAACTTGTCTTGGCCCCATGCTCATTCCATGCAAGGCAAGATGACAAGGTGGGCAGTAAAGCGTAACATCAGAAAACCCTGGGATCAAGCCCTGCCTTTGACACACATTAGCTGAGGGGCCCAGTGTTCCCTAGCAGAAATGTGCCCAAGCTGTGAGCTCCAGCCACAATGGAGAAATATTTAACAAAATAAATACAAATAGAATACCACATTGATAATATTAATTTGTGGTTTCTTAAGTCAATATTGGGCCTCCCGAGAGCTGTTTCTATTTGAGTATGACCCCATTGCTCTAGGCAACTCTCTGAGATTCTGAGTTGCAAAGTAGGTATCAATTTCCTTGGGTAGAGTGATGAAATTAGAGATTTGGTTCCCCCTAAAAAGCTTATTCCGTGCTCCTCCCCCATACATATTCTTTTCATGAGTTCATGTGGCCTTGATCCCTAAAGAACTTTCTCAGGAACTCACTTAGTCTTTCTTAGATTGGAAAAGAAGCTCTTTCCATTCCATCTCCACATTCCTCAAGTATTTCCCAATACCGCTCTCCATTTTTCCTTCCCATTCAGAGAACTTTCAGACAGAAGAGAGCCATGGAAAATAGCACTTTTCCCCATTCAATTTGTTTACAATTTATTATTTCCTATTTCTCAGTCACTATTCTAGGAACTAGGTGTACAGAGATGAAAATAATATAGCTCTTGCCTTCAAGTAAAATATTCTACTAAGAGGGACAAATATACACTCAATCAATCAATAAACATTTTTCCAGCACTTACTATATTCCGGGCACTGTGCCAAGCACTGGGGATACAAAATAAGGCAAAAGATAGCCCCTTTCTTCAAGAAGATTACACTCTAATGGCATATATAAAGGATAAATATAAAGGAAATAATAGAACCAAAAATCCAGGCACTAAATATAAGGGAGTTTGGGAGGAAGTGCACTAGCAGTTGGGGGGGAATCAGAAAAAAAAATTGGGGTAGAAGGTAGCATTGATTGCCATTGCCAAGCCCTAGCAAAGTGCCTGGCACATAGTAGGCACTTAATAAACACTCACTGATTGATTGGTTGGTGGTAATGATGCTTAGCTTTGTAACCATAAAGGCTGATAGAAATGTGCTTACACACACATCACATACTAATCTTCCCAGCTAGGTTAGCGTAAGCATTAGTGGTATGAAGGGAGGCATGGATTCCAGGAATAAGGAGCCATTTTGTATTCTGCCCTGGAGACCCTAGTTCAATTCTTGGTGCCACATTGAGAGACCAGCTGGAGAGGGTCCAGAGAAAGGCAAATGGTCCAGTTAAAAGCTGTAAGAGCAGCACAACAGGTCTAGCCTAAAGAACTATGCAAGTTGAGCCTGGAGAAGAGAAGGCTGTCATCAGATGGATCTTTTCAGTTCTTTCAAAGAGATGTCGTGGCAAAGAGAGACTGGACTTTCTGCTGGCCCTCTTAAGGCCCAAGTAGAAGTGATGGTGGGAGGTTACACATTCAGACTTTATGTGATGAAAACCTTTCTAACAGTGGGAATTATCCAAACATGAAATGGGTTACTTTAGAAGGATTGTGTGACCCCCATCATTGGAAGCCCTCAAAGAAAGTCTAGGTGGCCATTTACCAGGTATGTTGTAGAATTCTCCCTTGGGTGGGGGGCATGGTTTGGACAAGATAGTCACAGAGATCCTGAAAATGCCAAAATTCTCTGATTATCAACATGCCCTACATTAGGAAATTGAGGCTCAGAGAGCGTAATAAGACCTTATGGTCTACAAAGCACTACCTGTCAAAACAGATTCATTTTTTGGGCTTCTCTAGAAGTTGATTGAAACTGCAAAAATCTATGGGTAGACTAGACATTTCTACCTGTTGAGGTGAGGGAAATTGTCTCGTCCATGGCAGATTTTGCTGTGTCTAGGCACCTGCTCCACCCATCTTAACCATACCCAGTAAACATGTGACTTGTTCCATGGATGCTCCAAGTGTGAGCAGCTCTGAACTCCTTTCACGGGTCTCTTTCTTCAGACAACACAAATTCTCTTGCTCAGCTCAGGATAGACTCTGATACCCATGAGCATGTCTATGTTCTCTTTCCTGCTGCTGCAAGAATGAAGAGTGAATACCATGAGCCAACAAGAAAGCACAGTGGACTGAATAAATTCTTTGACAGGCCTTATCTGATTGGAATCTCATAACAACCCTGTGAGGGCAGTGCTTGGATTATACCCATTTTACAGATGAGCTCCAGCTCAAGGCTCGTACGTGTTCAGTGACTTCAGGGTCACACAACATGTAAATATTTACTTTCTTCAAGGACAGGATTCATACTCAGGCTTTCCTGACCCCAAATCCACTATTGTAACCACTAGCAGTGCAATCTAGGGGAAGTGATGAATTTGGGCTTAAAACAGACCTTCTGTATCCCAAGCCAGTGTTCTCTCTACCTTGTCTTGCCTTGGCGACGATCTTTGAGGATTTCAATCCACAATCCGATTTCCCCACATCCAAATGCTCCAGAACACAGTGCTAAGAGGGAAACAATTGGGACCACAACGACTGTCACATCACCTTGTTATTAATATCGTGCACACATGTTAATGCTTATTAGGATACTATCCTTTCGAGATAAAATTTTATGTTAAGGAAGAGTTGATAAGGCTAATGAAATTGATCACATAGTTTGCAAAATCACTGCCAATTAGAAGCAACAAGTTAGAACAAGGGATAGGGGTAAGGGAATGAGTTATTAGAGGGAAGCATATTATTTTATAAAAATATTAAATAGAGTTTTGACCTAACTAGAGCCAAACAATCAGGACTTTGAACCTGGGGTGCCTGAAGCATTTTTCTCCCAGGTGCCTGAGTCTACTCTTGTGGAAGTAGGATACTCATCCTTTTCTCTTTCCTGCTACTCAGAATCCTCCTGGCATTTGGGGGCACCTTTCCTCCAGACACAATGGATACCCCCAAGGTGCTTCCATCCCCCACAACACTGCTGCTATCACTTGCCCCAGTACAAAACTTCCTAGCTATGGTTCTTTTTTTTAATTTTTTTTTTAATTTTTAGGCAATTGGGGTTCAGTGACTTGCCCAGGGTCACACAGCTAGTAAGTGTCTAGTGTTTGGTCTGAGACCGGGATTTGAACTCAGGTCCTCCTGACTTCAGGGCTGGTGCTCTATCCACTGCACCACCTAGCTGCCCCTCTAGCTATGGTTCTTGCTGGGTTTTTCATCTTTGGGGCTGTCCAGTACCCTTCAGTACGCATTTATTAGCCATCTGCATGTAAGACTTTCCCCTAAAGTCTTTCAGGCTATAATGGGGCATGGAAAGAAGTGACTGTGGATTCTCAGAGGGAATCCATTACGCCACATTGGTTTTCATGAAATGGATGAGACTTGACTCTTCTGAAAGGAGGAGGCTTAAGCTGGGGACAGCCCCTCCAGCCCTGGGGCCCTCCTCTCCCTACACTTTTCACTGAGCTTCCCTGAAATCTTGACACCCTCCACCTCCCTGTCCTAGTCTGGGAGCTGCCGCTTAGCCTCACCGACCTAATTGTTTCTAATTTCCTGCCAGTAAATGGTACAAGGCGAGGAGCAGGTCCTCCCCCTTTACCATCCCTCTGCCTCCCTGCCCCCCCCACACACACCTTCTGCCTTTCAATCACCTGTCGGCACGAATGGCTTTTTCAGATGTCGGTCCTTGTGCTTTGTAGGTTACATGTGTTTTTAAAGTCTATTGTGGAAGGTCAAAAAGGCTGCTCATGCAGCTTCCCTAGGACATATCCTGAAAAGAACTGAATTTTCTCCAATAATAAAGGTAGGACCCACAGTTCTGAAACTCTATTATGTTGAATTGTAATTATCCACATCTCCTTTTCTCTTCCCTCTCCTCTTTTCCCTTAACAAGCGTTCAAGTTCCAAGTGCCAGAAACTCTGTGGGCACCTCTGGCCTTGAGGCCACATGTGGCCCTCTAAGTCCTCAAGTGTGGCTCTTTGATTGGATTCAGTCAAAGGTTCACACTTAAGGACTTAGAGTGCCACATGTGGCCTGGAGACCAAAGGTTCCTCATCCCTGTGAGATACAAGACGAAGCCATACCCTGCCCTCAAGGAGTTTACAATCTGTTGGGGGGAGAGGGAGAAATAGCACATATAGAAATAAGTATATGTGACATAAATACACAGAAATTAAAAATGAGGGGCAGCATGTAGGTAGGTAGGTATAAGTGGACAGAGAGCTGGCTTTGGATGCTGGAAAACATGGGTTCTAGACTTGCCTTGGGCACCTACTTACTGGCTGGGCGGCCTGGAGAAAGATAGTTAATATTTCCAGTGTGACCAGGCCACTCTAGGATCCTACATTGTGAAGAAGCCACCAGTGGGTGTTAATGGGGCATCGTCTTGTGGGGAGTGCACCACGTCTTTGAAATTATACGCTTATGTATACATGTACACTTTGTCACCATTCCACCAGAACTTCTCTCTCCAAAGTGGTCTCTCAGTTGCCAGATCCAATGGCCTTTTCTTGTTCCTCATCCTCCTCGACCTCTGCGCAGCCTTGAACCCTGTCTATCACCCCCTCCTCCTTGATACTCTCTTCTCTCTAGGTGAGGACAGCCCTCTGTCCTGGTTCTCCTCCTACCTTTCTGACCACTCCTTCTCTGTCTCCTTTGCTGGATTTTTAACCAGGTCACACCCACAGTTGGGTCTCTCTTGGGCCTTCTCTTCTTCCCTGTCTATGCTACTTCACTTGGTGATGTCATCAGCTTCCATGGACTTAATGACCGTCTCTACACTGTTGATCCTTAGATCTACCTGCCCTGCCCTAATTTCTCTGCTGACTTCTAGTCTTGCATCTCCACTGCCTTTCAGTCATCTCAAACCGGATGACCAGTAGACATCTTAAACTTCTTGTGTCCAAAAAGACACTCATTATCAATGCTTCCCTCTCCCAAACTTCCCTGTTACATTGAGTCAACAGCATCCTCCCAGTCCCACAGGCTTGCACCCTTGGTGCCATCCTTGATGTCCCACTATCTCTCATCCCCCAGGCCCCCTATCCAATCTGTTGCCAAGGTCTGTTGATTTCACCTTTGCAATAACTCTCAAATATGACCGCTTTTCTCCTCTGACACCACCACCCTTCTGGTGCAGACCCTCAGCACCTCATGCTTAGATCATTGCAATAGCCTGACTTTCATTTGACCTGCCTTTCAGTGTCTCACCACTCTAATGGCCCCTCCATTTAGTCGTCAAAGTGATTTTTCCTAAAGCAAAGGTCTGACTGTGTCACCCCCTCCTCAATAATTTCTCTAGCTCCCTATCACTTCCAGGATCAAATATAAAATCTTCCACTTGGCATTCAAAGCCCTTCATAAGCCAGTGCCTCTCCTCCATCTTTCTGGCCTTCTTACTCCTTACTTCCCAACACACACTTTTCCATCAAAGGACACTGGCCACCTTCATCATCCTTGCACAAGACATTCCATCTCTTGGCCTCTGGAATTTTTTGGCTGTTCCTGGTAATGTTCTCCCTCCATATCTCTGCCCCCTGGCTTCCCTGTCTTACATCACCAGCTAAAATCCCATCTTTTCCAAGAAGCCTTCCCTAATCTTAGTGCCTTCTCTTCATTCATTATGCCTTTTTTGCCCTGTATGTTTGCATAGATTGTTTGCATGTTGTCTTCCCTATAAGATCACGAGCTCCTTGAGTGTAAGGATTGTCTATTGCCTCTTTTTGTGTTTCTGGTGCTTAGAACAGTGCCTGGCCCATAGTAAGCATTTAATAAATGCTTTTTGTGGGAATGGTGGTAGTGGGATAATCTCTCATGAGTTAGGGGACCTGGAGAGAGCTCATGTAGGAGGCGGCTCCTCAGCTGAGCCTTGCAAGCAGTCAGGGCTTGCAAGGTATGAAAAGGAGGAGATGTATTGCAAACATAGGAGAGAGTGTGCACATGCAGCTAAGAGGGGAAGTAGAACACTGTGTGTCAACGAGGGTTGGAAAATGTAGTCCCTGAGGGGACATCATATGGAGTAAAATCCTTTGCAATCTAGCTCTATTTTCCTTTTTCAGATATTAGCATTGAATAGGTAGATTTGTATCTTATTCTAGAATCAATGGAGAGTCATTGATGTTCTTTGAACAGCAAAGTCACATGGACACCCTGGCATAGGAGTGTCAGATTGGCAACTGGGTGAGGAAGGGTTAAGAAGGGAGAGATTAGGAGAATGGAAACCACATAAGAAATCGATGCCATAGTCCCAAGGATCTGTGAAGAGAATCTCAGCTAGAAAGAGACAGGGGGCATGGATGAGAGACATGTTCTCAGATGGAATTCACGAGACTCAGGCACTGGCAGGATCTGAGGGGTGAGGGAGAGTGGAGATTTAGAGATAACTGAGGCTAGGAACCTGAGTGACTGAAAGGAAGGTGGTACCCCAACATGGAAGTTAGAAATGTGGGGTGGTTAGCCTGGAGAAGAGACGACTTTGTGGGGAGGGGCTGACAGCTGTCTTTGAGTATCAGAGGACTATTATGGGGAAAGGAGGTTAAGACTCATTCTGCTCAGTAATGACTGAGAGATGCAGAGTCACTGTTAGGCTAGATGTCAAGAAAACAAAAATCCCTGATAATGAAGGCTGTCCCGAAGCAGAATGGGCTGCTCTGGGAAGTGGGGGTTGATTCTCCCACCTTGGGAAGTCTTTAGGAATGTTCTAGTGGGGATTCCTGTCATGTATTGTTTGGATTCAGTGGTTGCTGAGGGCCCTTCCAACTCTCAAGTTCTTTGACTTGTGGGATTCTGAGATGATGGGTAAATGGAAAGATAGTGATGTCTTTGACAGAAGGGGAAGGGAAGGGAATAAACATTTATGTAGGACCTTCTATGTGTCAGGCCTTGTGTTAAGTAATAATAATAAAAGTACTACATCAATAATATTATAATTATTATATACATTATTATTATTATAAACATTTATATAACATACATTCCAGGAGCTATGCTGAGTTTTTATAATAACAATAATAATACTAATAATAGCTAACATTTATGTTGCACCTTCTATGTGATAAGCACATTTACAAATATCTCATTTGATTCTCACAACAACCATGGGAAGTAGGGTTATTTACCCCATTTTACAGTTGAGGAAACTAAGGCAAACAGAGGTCAAGTGACTTGCCCAGGGTCACAGAACAATTAAGGGTCTGAGGTTAAATTTGAATTCAGATCTCCCTGATTCTAGACCTAGTGCATTATCCACTGTGCCACAGGGTGTCTGATAGAAGTAGAGAAGTTACATCTTGACATCTTCAAAATAAAAGATTTCTTCACAAGCTGTTTCAGAGCAATAATGGGCATGCTGCCCACTATGGGTTGGCATTAGGGTCTATAGCCTGGTAGGATTAATCATTTCCAGATTTTAGATTTTAGAGGTGGGTAGGGCACTGGTCTCGTAGGCAGGAAAAAACAAGTTTGAATCTGGGATCATTGGCTTGTTAGCTGTGTGGCCCTGGCCAAGTCACTTCATTTGTATCATCCTCAGTTTCCTAATCTGTAAAATGGGGATAACAATATCACCCAACTCACAAGATTAGGAGGATCAAATGAGGTTATATACATATACATATATATGTGTGTGTGTGTATGTATATATATATATATGCATATACATATGCATATACATATATAATATATATTGCATACATGTATATCACTTTGTAAAACTTACCCTATATAAATGCTGGCTATATTATTATTAATTGCTATGCCATTGAGTTTACTGTTCTTTGCCAATCTTTAGCCTTTGGGGATTCAATTCAACTCACCCAACAGAGGAAAGCACTGAGGAGTGAGGGATCTTTGAAGGGGAAACTCCCAATCAACTCGCCAGCCTCCTATTTTGTCCAAGCTCTGGACTTTTACAGAATTCCCATCACCTAAAGAGGCTGCACTTTCAGAGAGACCATCCAGACCTTTTAAGGCCTTTCACATTCTTCCACTTTGAGCTTTCAGACATTTCTCAGCAAAGGAGAAAAGTCACAGAATGACTCTTGTTATGATAACATTTAGGAAAATATCAATGGTTTTATTCACTGCCTTTTAAGTCAGTGTGAGGTCAATAGAGATGCTGGTCATATTCATAGCCACCTCTTTCCAGGAAACTGAGTCACTGATAAGTTGTTACTTTATTAAGATGAAATAGTGAGTCACCACCAAACACTGGGTCCCGGCTTGCACAGCCTGACCCTATTGTTTTTCTTTCAGAATTGTTCCCCGCTCCATTCCCTCCCTCTCTCTCTCATTCCTCCAGTCTTTTTCTCTCCTTTTCCTTTCCTCCTCTCATTTCCTCTCACCCTCCTTCCTCTGTCTGTCTGTTCCCACTCCCCTTCTCTTCCTCCCTCCAGCTCCAAAGATGGCTGAGAGCTAATGGAGGGAGGAGGCAGCAGGAGGGGATGAATGCCATAAAACTGAGTTTTTCTTATTCATCTTGCCCTGAGAGTATTGGGTGGGGAACATCTACTCAGTCACATTTAGAAATTATTCCTTTTGGACAATCGCTGTTTGGATTGAGTGATCCAGAGGGACTGGAGGGGAATCATCAGAAAGATATTGGCTGGGTAACTCTAGGTAATTTGGTTCCTCTTCTGAGCATCATTTTACTTATCTGTAAAATGGGGATATAATGGGGGAAATAACTATTGTATCCCCATTTTATAGATGGGCATGTTACCTCTCTCATGCCTCATGATGGTATGATGATAACCCTAGGCTCTTGGAAGCTACAAATTCTTAGGGTATGGGCCCAGGATCAGGTAGCCTGGTTCTTAAATGAGCTGTGAAATGACTCCTCACAAAAAGACAGTCTTTTATGGAATACATTTTGAACCACAATAACTCATGTAGACTGTTGTCAAAGGCAGAGCAAAATCTGTTGGCTACATCAGTGGATGGACCATCCATATACATGAAATAATCGATTTTGGAGCCATAGTAGGTTTTAGATATGAAAGGGACCTTAGATTTATTCCCATCCAGAGGCAGAAACTCAGGATCGAAATAGAAAGTGACTGGCCCATGGTGACACAAATATTACATATCAGAACCAAGACACTAACTCAAATGTCTTGATCTGAAGTTCAACACTAGGGACAATTAGGGTAGGTAGGTAAAGTGTTAAACTTGGAATCAGGAAGACCTGGGTTGGAATCCTGCCTCAGACAGTTACTAGATGTGAGACCCTGAGTAAGTCACTTAACCTCTGTCTGTTTCAGTTCCCTCCACTGTAAAATGGATATAATTTTCCCTTCCAGGGTTGTTGATTTAAGTGAGCAAGATTTGTAAAGCACTTTTCAAACCTTAAAGCATTATATAAATGTTAGCTACTATTGTTTTTAATTCTTACAGAGCTATATTAATAAGTAAGGTGGCAGGATGGGTGATGTTTTGGATAGAGAACTGGACTCAAAGTCAAGAAGTACCGAATTCAAGTCCTGTTTGTGACATATACTTACGGTGTGACCCTGGGAACTCATATAACCTTTCAGTACCCTGGGCCAGTAATATCAAGCTCAAATAGAAACAGGGACTACTGAACGGTACATAAGGATCTCTGTGGGCCATATGTTGACTTAGAAAACCACATATTAACATTATCTGTGTTCTGTTGTGTTTTATTTATCCTGTTAAAAATTTCCCAATTCCATTTTAATCTGGTTCTGGCTGCACTGGACAGTATCACCTGGTTGATAGGAGGTATATGACACTTATTCTCTAAGTGACTTTTAAGGCTATAATTGGGGTGGGGGAAGGTCCTCATCTGAGGGTTTCCTATAACCTTGAAATCAGAGACTCAGTCCTTACACCATATTAATTAGTGAGGCTTTTCTCTCTTGTTATAAGCTTTGTGTGTTTCCCCCTTTCCTAATATGAATTACATTTCCCACGTAGAATCTCAGAAAGAAAGAAAAAAAGCAAATATAGGTTCAACTGTAAGACCTTTGACACTTCACATAAACAAACAAAAAAATCCACAACTGAGGTTCATTCCTCCATTCTTTGCCAAGAGATTGGCATATCACCATGTGAGGTAATGGTTTCTTGCTTTTTGCTTTTCCCCCTAAAGCCAGGTGAGAATGTCTCTTCTTCATAACAACTCCAGAGTTATACTGGGCCCGAATGACCCTATAGCACCTGTCACCCTGGAAAGGGCCCTCTGTGCCCTGCTTGTTAGCCAACCTTGAAAAAATCAGGAGAACTTCCATTTTCTTCATCCCCTCCAACCAATGACTGTATCCAAAGGTCTCAAAGCACCGACCTGGAAGCACAGGCAGCAGACAGCACCTTCCTCTGCCAATCATCATCCTGGAACCCCAAAAGAGGGAGCACTCCCAACTCATGACAAAGATGGCTTTTGTCCTGTATAAAATGAGAAGGTTGACCTGGAAGGGCAATGCAGAGTGACAAACCTGTACCTTCACCTTGGCTGTGAATCCTACCACACTCAATCTCATCTTGGGGGCTGTTTTTTCTAGCATCGAGTTCACTAGGAGGGCAGCTTGGTAGAGTGGAGACCATTATTTTCTGGGACATCTGAACTCCTGGGCTCTAAGCCTGCCTCTGTGACTGTGGACCAGCCACTTAACCTGGGGACTTCAGTTTCCTCATATTTAAAACAGTGTTGGCGGGTGGGGATTGGATGAGACAGCCATCGAGCTGCAGATGTATGATCTTGAGAGGTAACCATTTCTTTAAAAAATCATCACGCAGTTTATTTTGTTTGTTTGTTTGTTTTCTCAGAACCCCTGACAGATGTGCAACGAAGATGCTGAGTGGTTCTGGAGAGAGATTGTCTGGGCCACGTACGCCAGGCCCACTGCCATCTCTAGGCCAGAGACCTGGTTTTTCTTCCCTTTCATATTTTTCTTGCTCCACACGTCTCTATGATTCAGCCTTTCAGTGCCAGAGGTAGCTTTCGGTCAAGTTTCAGCACCTCGACGCTTTCCTCTCTGGTCTGTTCAACTTCAAGCAGTTTTCAGGGAGCCTGTTTCTAGAAGGCACTTTCTGTCCTTCCCTCTTTCCTTGTTTTTTTAGGGTGCCTGGGAAGTTGGGAAGGTGAGAGTATCACCTCATTTTGCCTGTCTACAATGTAATAAATAGGCCAGAACACATGATGGGTTAGAAGGCAAGGTGTTCCCTGGAGAGTTTTTTCTTCTGTGCCAACTGGACCCTAAAACCCCTTCTGCCTTGGGATGACTGTCAGGCAGAGGGAGCCAGTGGGTCACAGCTCTGCCCATCTTTGGCCTACACCCAGGAAAGGGCACCACGAAGGCTCCCTCCCCAAGGCAAACTGGGAGAGGAGGACGTCCCGAGGCCTTTCTTTGCTGGTGGCCCAGGGGCTAGGCCATTGGGAAGTGCTGCTAGTATTTCCATTCTCATTGAGATGACTGAGCCCCATGGGAGCAAATCCTGAACAAAACACAATTCCCACAACTGCCAAGAAAAGGGTTAAGGCCATAACATGTAGGTTCTGGGGAGCTGGTCCATTCCATCTCTGGGGAAATGGCCTTCAATTCTAAAACAGAAAGCTTGGTCCCTTTAGGCTCGTGCAGAAGGAGTGGCCCCTCTGACATTGCCCAGGGAGGCCACTGTTCTGCCTGCCTCCGAACTGGACTCCCTTTTCTACAGGACTCCTCACGGCCTCCCTCCCCTTTCAGGGGCCCCCTGCATCCCTTGGAAGTAAGCTTTTCTGCCCTAATTTCCCTCTCCATCCCTGACTCCTTCTTTTCTTTCTCATTTTTTCCCTCTCTCCCCCTCATTCTCTCCCTTCTTTCTCTATCCTACTTTCTTTTTCTTCTCCCCTGTTTTTCTTCTCTCCCTCTCTCTGTCCTGCAATCTGTCATTCTTCAGTTTCTGTCTCTCAGTCTCTGTCATTTTTCATCTTTTCTCTCTCCCTTTATTTTATTCCTATTTCCTTCCTTCTTTCCTTTTGTTTCTCTCTCTTCTTCTCTTTTTCTTTCTCTCTTTCACTCTTTCTCTCTTCCTCTCTCTCCTTCCTCCCTACCACTTTCTTTTCTCTTCTTTTTCTCTCTCTCTCTTATTCTGCCATTTGTCAGTTTCTCCTTCAGTCTGTTATTTGTCAATTTCTTTCTCTCATATTATCTCTCCCTTTCCTTTTTCTTCTCCCCCTTCCCATCTTCTCTTCATCTTCCTCTCAAGTGATCTCTCCTTTTTTTTCTTCTTTCTTCCTCATCCCTCTCCTTCTCTCTCTGCCTCTCCTCTCTCCTTTCTCCTTTTTCCCTTTTTCTTTCCATGTGTCTCTTCTCTCTCCCTCATTCCCTGTCTGTCTCCATCTCTGTCTCTCCCCAGTGATCTGACATCACTTACAGCAGAGAGAAAAGAGGCACAACCCAAATGGTGAGTTGTGATGTGCAGGCACTAAGGATGGAGCTCACCATTCCCTGTTCTGGAAGTTTTATTCGCTGTAACGAGAATTGGGTATTTCCGGAGTTCCAAACAAAAGAACCCCCTGTGCATGGCCAGAGAGGTGACAGAGGAGCTTGGGGGCCTTATCCTCTTTGGGGTTATAGTATGAAGGGGTCCAGCTCATCCCAGGGGGATCACTGCCCAGAGCTCAGTTCCCCGGTAAGGTCAGTTTATTGGAGGTAGTGGCATATCCCATTACCAAAGCCAGAATATCAGACACAGATTGAGCCCCAACAGTCTCAATCCTTTACTAGTAACCTTGGGGCAGTTGCTTTCCCAAGCTGGGCCTCAGCCTTCTTAGCTATAAAAAGAAAGGATGGACCAGATGGTTGCTGAGCTTTTTATCCTCATAACAACCCTGGGAGTTAGGTACTATCATTGCTCCCATTTTACAAATGAGGAAACTGAGGCAGAGAGAAGTTATTATTAATAATAACACACTAAATTTTTCAAAGCATTTCACAAAAATGATCTTATTGTTCCCTTACAACAGCCCAGGAACATAGGGTCTGTTATTATTCTCATTTTATAGATGAGGAAACTGAGGCAGACAGAACATATACGATTTGCTTAAGGTCACAAATTGAGGAAGTTTCTGACACAGAACTTGAACTCAGGTCCTCCTAATTTCAGGTTCAGAGCTCTATCCCCTTTGCCACTTACCTGTATAATTACCCATCCTGTCTTTGATACTTCCTGTCTATATGACTTCAAACAAGTCACTTTCCCTCTCTGATCCTCAATTTTCTTATTTGTAAAAGAAGGTTGATGAAATAGGAAGTTCTGAGTTCAGAACCTAGCTTAACTTCTCCTTGTGTGACTTCAAGCAAATCACTTACCCTCTCTGGATCTCTGATTTAGGAATAAGGAAGTGTTGGTCTGGCTGCTCTCTGCTGTCATCAGACAACATATTAGCAGCTTTTTATTCCTGGAACCCTACTTTGAGAAGGACCTTGAAGGAATGGAACCACAATGGCAGAGGGCTTTGAGGTAATGCCATATGAGGATCAGTGGAAGAAACTGTGGATTTTTAACCTAGAGAAGAGAGGATTTAGGGAGGATATGATAGGTGTCTTCAAATATTTAAAAGGTTATTATATGGAAGAAGGAATAGACTTTTTCTTCTTGACCCCATAGAGCAAAACCAGGAGCAACAGGTAGAAATTTACTTCTAGAAGGAATGAGTTGTCCTTCATTGAAAGACTTCATGAAAATACTGAATGACCAGTTAGTAATTACAAAGCTTCCGAGGCCCCTTCCGGCTTAGGTCTGGGATATAATAACAAAATCGTTCCATCTCTATGAACCCTGGTTTCCTCCTTTGTAAAAGGAACAGGTTGGAGTAAATGATCTCTGAGGTCCCTCCTAGTGCCAGATTAGATCTATGATTCATTGCTCTGTGAAAATGGGGATTCTTTGTTCAGGTATGTATTGAACTGGATGGCCTGAGTTTTCTGAAATTCTGTAGGAGGTAGGGTGGGGAGGAGAAATTGGTATATGTACACAGTCTCCTCCCCACAAGAACCATTAATGGCTACCTTGGGGCAAAAAGCACATGGTAATTATAGATGAGCAGCCACAGCTTTCTTGCCCTCACAGCCCAAAAAGAGAATTCCTAACAGTGAATTTTCCCAGCCCAAGAGATGGCAGCAGCTGGGGGCAGTGTTGGAATATTCTGAGTTCTTGCAGAAGTACATGGCAGAAGCAAACATGTGTTTGCCCACATGGTCTGAGGGGGGATTTCATGGACAGTGTCCCGGAAACCCAATTTCCTGTGAAGAGGAATGAGGATCTAAATTTCCTTGGCAGAGTGAGCCTAGATTCAAACCTTCTAGCAGAAAAAGGATGTCAGGCAGTGACAGCCTTTGGGGGTTATTTGAGGAATAGCAGCCCCAAACTCAAGATTTTAGACTTCTGGTCTTCTAGAGCATGAGTTCTTGGTCTTTCTAATGTATGTATAATGGACCCCTTTGGCAATCTGATGAAGCCTAGGGACCCGTTCTCTGAATAATACTTTTTAAAATCATATGATTAGATTCACACATAAAATAAAAAAATTCATAAAATAAAATACAAAGGAAACAAATTTATTAAAATATAGTTATCAAACTATTGATAAAAAAAAAAGTTCATAGAGCCCAGATTAAAAACCCCTGCTCTAGTTAGCCAATGCCCCTTTTAAAATGTGGACAGACAATTTCAAATGAGATCTGTTTAATGCAAAGTGAAGAGACACAGGGTCACAGGAACGTAGATTTGAGGCTAGACGTGACATTTGAGGCCATCGACTCCAAACCCCTCATTTGACAGCAATGAATCATAGATCTTGTCTGGCACTAGAAGGGACTTCAGTGACCATTCACTCCAACATGCTCATTTTACAGATGAGGAAACTGAGGTCAGATAAGTAAAGTAACCTGCCCCAGGTCATGCAGGTAGAACATGGCTGAGCTGGGATTTGAACTCAGGTATTCTGACCTCTAAGCTAGCGATCTTTCCACTGCACCGTGCACTGTGTCCACTCATTTCTTTCATGATATACTTTAAGTTGGGAACAACCTAAATTACCACCTAGTCCATCTCATACCTGAAAGGAATCCCCACTCCACTTGGCCTCTGCTTGAAGATTTCCAACGAGCAGAGACCTGACACCTCCTAGAGCAGCCCGCTGCTCTTTGGGACGTCTCTCCTTGTTGGAAGTTTTGCCCCTTTGCCTCTTTCACCTGTCCCTCCTGGTCCTGCCTTCTGGGTCTATGTAGAGCAAACTAAATACCTCCTCCACGTGACCCCTTCAAATACTTGAAGATGGTTTTTGTGTCCCACTGAGTCTTTTCTTTTCCAAACTAAACATGCCATGCATGGCATGGACTCAGGGCCCTTCCTCCATGCTAGTTTCCTTCCAAGAAATGCTCTTCAGCTTACCAGTATCCCTGTTCATCTGTGGTGCCCACGACCAAGCCCACATTTGTATCCTCACCACTTAGCATAAAGTCTGCTTAATCAATGCTTACTGACTGACCAAAATCTGCAGTCCAATTCTCGATGTACCTTATAAATCTACCAAACAATTACTCAGCGCCTCCTTTCGAACAAGATGATTGAAAAGCATTTAGCACAGTGTCTGGCACGTAGCAGGTGCTTCATAAATGTGTGTTCCCTTCCTTTGTGCTCTAGATTAGGAGTGGTACAAAGGTTAGCTTAGATGTGGTCCCCATTGCCTAGGAGTTCACAGTTTGGTCTTTGGGTAATCAATCAATCACCCAGCATTTATTAACTGGTGCATAGTGAATGCACCAAAAAGGAAGTATGGTACAGTGGAAAGAGAGTTGCCCTTGGTTTCAGGAAGACCTAGGTTCAAGTCCTACCCACGAGTAACAGTTACTACCCTAGACAAGTCCTTTAACTTCTTAGTGCCTCAGGCCCTGCCTAAGACTATGAATTGCTGGGAAGCTACTGCCCTACATTGGTAAAGAACATTTCCTCACCCCGGGAATTCCTTGCACCTAGGATGTCACAGGTCTGGTCACTAGCCCTGTCACTGCAATGAGCTATAGATAGAAAGAAAAAAAGCACAGCCTTTGCCCTTAAGGAACTTACAGCCTAATGGAAGAGACATACAGATAACAAAGTACATACAAGATACAGACAAAGTGTTGGTCTGTCATTTCAGTTGTGTTTGACTCTCCATGACCC